TTTATTCATTCACTGAGCAAATCATATGCCAGACACAGATCTTTATATGCTAAGCACTAAATACGTGATGGTCAACAAAACAGGTATAGCTCTTGCCCTTTTTACTGTGCCTCTGAAAGCTGGGGAATAAGATCCAAATAATAATATCTACCCTACATGTATTTTAGGCACCGAACTAGATATTAATACTTATGTATGTTTTTATTTGATATAATCCTCACAAGAATTCCATGATATATATATATGTAATACATGTGTGCATGTTTGCATATATATTTGCATATGTACATATGTATTGTGTATACATATAAATATTGTATGTATGTATATGTATGTGTATATAAACACACACACATACACACAATCTCCCTGTTTTCACATGAGAGCCAGGTAGCATTGTAGTAGTGATCAAAACAGAAAGCAGTATTGCACTGTGGTTACAAGACAGTATCCTGGGGGCAGACTGATCAGGATTTTAATCTTTGCTCTGCCATTTATTACCTATGTGATCTTAGTCAAGGTTTTTAATCTCTGACCTCTTGTCTACCCATCTGCTCATTGAAGAACATATTATAATATCACTAACCCAAGGTGTTATTATGAGGATTACATGTGGTGCTACATGTGAACATATTTAACACAGTGTTTGGTACATGGTAAGTAAACTAAGTAAATTTCAGACAAAGTGCAATAAGCGTAATGGAATTCGGGTAAAGCATAAAGAAATGACAGTTACAAAAGAACAGAGAATTAAGTATGTGAAATACATCAAAATTTTCTACCTGTAAGAGTTGTTTTGTGGGTTAGGATTTTTGGGCCCCTCTTGCTCTTCCTATGCCCCTTTAGTCTTTCCTAGACCATTAGACCCTTGAAGGAGTGTCTAGAGAAGGCACAGAAGCTCCATGCCTCTCCCTCATACCTTGTCCTGTGCATCTCCTCTATTTGGCTGTTCCTGAGCTTTGCCCTTTATAATAAATGGATAAACTGGAGTCCAGTGGGACAGCGGAGCACGCACGTGGGCATCATCATTCCCTGCCTGCCCATTCCCATAAAGAGTTTGAGATGCCTCACGAGCACAGGATTCTGGTGGAACCACATTACGTGAGAGTTCAGCGAGATTCCCGGTGAGTACAAGTACAGAATGCAAGGGATAGAGGAAAAAAATAAAGGACACTGTGGCAAAGCAACCAGGCCCCAGCATTAGGATTTCTACAACTACAGGCTCATGCAATGAAAAAGGGCTGTGCTAGACGTGAGGGACAGAGAAACCAGATGCAACGCACAGTCCTGAATTGTATCTGGGCTTGGATAAACTAGCTATAAAAATATTTTGAGGCAATTAGAGAAATTGTCATGTGGATATTAGGTGACACTAAATAATTATTTATTTTATTAACTGTGAAAATATTGGCTATATATAAAAATGATTTTTAAAAAAAGATGTACACTAAAATTTTAAAAAGCTATGGTAATCTTTCGTAGGTGAATGGGTAAACAAATTGTCATATATCCATAAAACAGATCTTTTATTCAGCAATAAAATGAACTATTAAACTACAGAAAGACTTGGATGAACCTTAAATGCGTATTGCTAAGTGAAAGAAGTCAGTCTGAAAAGGCTAAATATCATGTGATTCCAATTATATGAAATTCTGGAGAAGGCAAAGCTATGGAGATAGTAACATAGGTCAGTGGTTGCCAGGGGATGGGGAAGGGTGGGAGGGAGGGATGAACAGGTGGAGCACGGGGGATTTTTAGGACTGTGAAGCCATTCTGTATAAAACTGTAATGATGGTTGCGCCATTGTGCATTTATCAAAAACCGTCGAATGGTACAACACAAAGAGTGAACCTTAATGTAAACTATGAACTTTAGTTAATAATAACACATCAATATTGGTTCTTTAACTGTAACAAATATACCATACTAATGCAAGATTGTGATGGGCATGCTTTTAACCCTGACTTGAGCATCACAAAAGCAATCCACGTAACCAAAAACATTTGTACTCCTGTAATACTTTGAAGTAAAAATAGTTAAAAAATAATAATAATGGGGAAACTGCAGAGATTGGGGGTTTCATGTAGGTATATAGAACTCTATGTATTATCTGCCCAATTCTGTAAATCTAAAACTGTACTAAAAAGCAAAGTCTATTAATTATTAAAAAAAAACTGGAGGCCAAGGGGATCCTTTAAATGTAGGGTTATCTGAATCAGGTCAGGTCTCCAAGACTCCAAATCCCCACTTAAGCAGTAAAAGCCTTGTAAATTCAATTCAATGGTAATATTCTGAGGTCTGCATCAGTATCTGAAAGACCAGAATGTTAAACCAAAAATGACAGCATTTTAGAATGCATTCCATGATAAGTGAAAATATCCTTCCAATATAAAGATGGAAAAAACCCTCTAAGTAAGAGAATCATAGATCCTAGTTTGGTCCAGGACAATCCCAGTTTACGCCAATTATCCTGATATTTTCATTAAGTTTCCCTGTTGACTCTCAAGTGTCACAGTTTGGATATTAAATTATATGGTCATCTCTAAGCATCCTCCTAAAACCCTCAGCCTAGAACTTTTATTGGTGTCTGTAATCTTTCTTCAGGCTGTCATACTCACAAATCATAAAATATGTGCCCTTTTAAATGAGAAATGCACAAATAAAACTGCTTCTTTGGACATTGTGTTCGTTTACCTGTAACCATGTTCCAGCGGATCCATCTTTTGAAGGTGAAGATCCAGCATTTTACTTTTAGATTCTTTGTCTTCATTAAAACAAACAAAAACTACCACACAATTTATTTCTCGGTTTTTTTTTCCCACAAAAATTACAAACTTTGTGAGCTTTGTATTTTCCATCTGTCTAGTGAAGGAATTTAAATGTCTTCAATATTTTTTAAAAAATTCTTTTTAAACAATACAAACCCTGTTGATTTGCTCCTCTAGCCTTCTATAGCTATGTATTGTGTTTACAGTGTATTAACTTGAATATTGGTAAAGTTGTTTTTTCTGTAGCACTTAACTCTTAAATAGATCATTCACTCTTAATCAGCTGAACTTTAACTTTTGGGTCCCAGAAATACTGGCAACTCAGTCAAAATTGTTGACTTACTGATAACAGCCACCACACACTACTTGCTCACAAATTTGTGTTCTTATCGATAATATATTAACCATCAAACAACTCCTGAATTATGAGTCCTTTGAGTTAGGCAGACAGTGTTATTTGAGATACTATTTTCACATTAACAAATTTTTGTCATTGTAGGCCAATTGTTTTCTTTTCTTGGAACGTTAAATGTCTGCTTAGTTGTTGAGCGACCATGTACCTTTATTCATCTTCAGGGTCCAGAAAAAAAATCCCAGGGGTTAATTTTTCCTATAGACGTTTCCTCTCCAGGCATTATGACTTACTCTCCTTCTGTGATCCAGATTCTATGTGGCATTTTAGTAATTGTGATAAATCAAGTTTTTCCAGCTGTGTTGACTCTGTTGAAGAACAAAGAATGCCTAAAATTAAGGATTTTAGTCATCTGATAGCTATGGTTTGGAGTTTCCTTTTCTTGCCCCACTTTTATGGTGCAAGGTGCTGAGATGCACAATGCTACCTGCAAACCTTGCACCACCACGTGGAATACTGCAGAGGAATTGAAAATTACTGTAGTAACTGATGCTGCACCAAAGCCCAGGAAGGTAAGAAATTATTTTAGTAGAAAAATCCTACTGTTTCTGAAGCACAGTGGCCACGCTTCCTCAAACTGCAACCACAGCTCTCAACCAAAGAATGGGCTGCATAGGATCCTGGTGTGTAGAAGATTCCCAGTTGTTACCACAGACTTTTCAGTCTTGTATTTCTGTCCTCAGAGAAGCAAGCCCATCAACAGTACTATCTATGGAGAGTCAGGATGGCAATCACCATTCTTTGGCCGTATGTGTTGTACCTGGCTCACTCATGTGTCTCTAGTCTCACATAAAAGGCAGGCAGAGGTGCTGTGTCTCTGTATTGTTCTCTTTTATTATTATTTCTTGGTTCCAGTCTTTACTGAGATCTGAATTCAGCTGGAGCTCACTTTTTTTTTTTTAATTTCAGGGTATTATGAGGGTGCAAACATTATGGTTACATTTTATGTCTTTGCCTCACCCAAGCGAGGGTTAGAGGCATGCCCTTCCCCTCTACAATGCTCCCCGTGTCCTTTAGTTGTGGGTTTACCCCCCGCCCATCCCCTAATTGGAGCTCACTTTTTAAAGGACAGATACAAGGAAGGGGGTAGGGACAGTCTTACCTGCAGGGCACAGCCCTTTGACTAATCAGTCCAGGCCATCTTCAGTCAAGTTATGGCATCAACAAAGTGCAACAGAGAAGATCAGTCCCACACTGAATAGTAGTAGAGTGGGTGGCCCATCACCTATGCTGCCTTCGTGAAAATACTTAGAGAACTGATGATTATGTTCTGTTTGGCAAAATGTGATTTGAATCTCAGTACAAAATACTTTAAAAATACTTTATTCTCTTCAGTCTCTATTTAGCTGAACTTAAGAAATTAATTAGATAGAGAATGAGCATAGACGAACACTGAAAAATAGACTTTCAAGCTCCATAAAATTCTTTCTTGATTGAAGGGGAAAAAGGAAAATTCACGTGCTTAGAATAATTTATCGGAGAATCTATAATTTAAGAAGCTAAATAAGAGAATAAGTAATGCAGTTGGCAATGAAATATATGATATACAAAATAAGACAAAATAAATGACTCCTATGCCATTTGGATTTGTCAATGAGTAGCAATTAAAAGACACCTTTGAAAATATTTAATAAAGCAGAATTGCTTATCTATCAGGCTTTTTTCTGAGCTGAACCTTTGAAAAACAACATCTGTGGGACTATTTGTTTGTTGCTCTTTTTTCCCCAATCCAATTTGTTATAGTCAGAACATAGAAAACTGAACTCAAAGCCAGATTTCTTAATAGGATGACATTTGGACAGCTATTTTACTTAGTGATCCTGTGCAGTTTAGTAGCAAAGCTGAAATAAGCCCTCTCCTTTTGGGGGAAACAAGATGGTATTCTGCTGAATGCTAGAATTTTATCACTTTGGGAAAAAAAAAAAAAAAAAACCTGCTTGAGAGACCTAAGAATATAAAAGCATTTGAGATCTCAGAAGGAGTTTAAATCAATGCACTGCCACAGTTACAGAGCAGATGAAAGAGCCTGCTGTCTCAATTGCCAGGAAACTACTTAGAAACTCTCACTTTGATTTCTTCACGTAGTCCGTTACATTACTGCTAAATGCAATATATAGGGACATCATGACTTTGATGTTGTACAGCTCCAACAAATGGAAACTAATATGATAGAACAACTAAGATTTTTTGTGGTTTCACGTGAATATACAAATATATCCCTATCTAGTTCCCTATTTACTGTGTATCTCCAGGGGCTGTCTTTTAACCTGTATTTTTATAAAATTATAATTTTGGTGTTTTATTCATGAACTCTAGTAAGCAATGCCATGTTTACGTAGTACCAAAAACCATAGGGGAATATTGTTATTCTGAATTATTACTTTAACTATATGTATTGTACACCAGTTTTTAAAATACAGCATAATTTTATACATCTGTTTGCCAGTACTGGTCGGGACTGAATTCAGTGAGGAATTACTGATTCCGTGCCTTTGGAAACTCTAATGTTTTTAATCAGTGGGCATGGACAGATGGAACTGGAAACTGCATTCCCATCGGAAAACAGCAGAAGTCTCTTTTCCAGTTTTAGTAAAACTTCAGGTGGGCCATCCAATTTTTAAGATCCTGAATTTTTAAAATCTGAGAATTTCTGTCCTTATTAACTAATAAATTTGAAATAGTTTGCTGTTTCTTATTAAAATTGTAAACATAGGCTTGTTTATGTATGTAAGACTTTCATCACATTTAAGACTTTGAAATTTATGGAAATAATCATAAGAAAAGATAAGAAGAACAAAAGATAAGAAGTTCTTCAAAGGTCAGAAGTTGAATCTTGCCTGGTGCAGTGGCTCACGCCTGTAATCCTAGCACTCTGAGAGGCCTAGGCCGGCAGATTGTTTGAGCTCAAGAGTTCGAAACCAGCCTGAGCAAGAGTGAAACCTCGTCTCTACTATAAATAGAAAGAAATTAGCCAAACAACTAAAAATAGAAAAAACAAAAATTAGCCGGGCACGTTGGCGCGTGCCTGTAGTCCCAGCTATCTGGAAGGCTGAGGCAGGAGGATCGCTTGATCCCAGGAGTTTGAGGTTGCTGTGAGCTAGGCTGACACCACGGCACTCTAGCCCAGGCAAGAGAGTGAGACTCTGTCTCAAAAAAAAAAAAAAAAAAAGAAGCTGAATCTTACTGTTGGCCCTCCCACTTACTAATCTTTTGAATTTGGGTATGGCATTTGATGTTTGGTTTCAATTTCCTCACTTACTAAGCAATTCATAGCACTTTTCTGTCTTCCTCCCAGAAGTGATGTAGGGACCAAGAAAGATAATACTTGAAAGGCAGTCCTGTAGCAGACAGGGCTTCAGACCAGGCAGGGATGCCAGCAATGCCTCCAACTAGCTGTGTATGTATCATGGACAGATCATTCAACCTTTCTGGACTCCTAATCTGTGAAACGAGGAGGCTGCTCTAAAAAATGTCTAAGTTCCCTCTGATCTTATTTGTCAGCATGCTTTGAAAACTATAAATCACTCTATAAATATTTCTGACTTTTTGACAGTATGCTTTAAAAACTATGAAGCTTGATGTAAAATATTGCAAACGTTTTTACATAGTTTAAACAGTTTAATCCTTTATCAAAATAGATTAGTAAAGACAGATCATAAGATCATTTTTTCCGAAGAAATCTTTAATAATTGGATGGATGATCCTTCTTATTCAGTATTTCATATATGGACCACACTCATGGGAAGTTTCTTGAACCCCTTCCAGCTACATAGGACTCCACTATTAGTGTTATTGGGAATATGATAACTATTGCACAAGAATTTCCATTTTTGCTTAAATGTAGTTACTCTCCAATATACATTTTACTAATAAATTTGCAGGAACTATGAAACTACTTTAGACTTAAATTGTAAACATATATTTTACTTGCATATAGCCCGGAGGC